ATGGCTTGATAAGAGCTGGACCTTGTGCGGCCGTAAAACAGGTTCTCAAAAAGAATGCAATTAGTGTCAGGTGTGTGCTTGGGTCGGGTTTCCATACATCATTTCTTTTGAATGACCTGGAAGTCATCTCCGGCAAATCGCCGCCCTCCAGTATTCCCATACCAACGGCTACTGGGGTTTTACATCCCAACCCTTCGGAAAAATCGCGAGATGTGCCATTGAAGGAGACGAGTTTTGGTCCAGTAGCACCCCGGCCTCCTGAAAATAGGCCACAAAAGGCGGTAACTTATATTTTCGAAAGTTCTACCCGTGTATAGGTTGAACCGAAGAAACCTAAGAAGTCATTTCTGGTCAGGTTTAAAGAGGAGATGATTCATTACTACCATGGTTTTCGTCTCCTTGGCTTAGAGACGAGGATCGCTGGCGGCATATGCTTCCGACTGCTGACTGGAAAGACCTTAACTAGACGTGAAAGGAACCAGGTTTGAATTTTCACTCCGTTTACAGAAATTCCAAGCTTGTTCGAACAGTGGCCGATATATTTCTGTTGGTGCCGTTTGCTGTCTTTATAATTGTTCCCTTCATGGAATTTCTGTTGCCAGTTTATCTCAAGTTCTTCCCCTTCATGTTGCCCAGTACTTTCAAGGAAAAGGGGAAGGAGGTTTGAACCTTCTGGAACGCCTAACCTTTTTTGTAGGAGGAAAAAGTACGTCAAAAACTAAAGGCGAAACTGGAAGTGGCTCGTTTTTTACAAGAAACTGTTATGCAAACCACCACTAAAACCAGCAAATCCAAAGACATTCCAACCATTGCTGAGTTTCAGGAATTTTTGAGAACAGTGAGCTTTAATGTTCTTCCGCTTCTAGGATCATCTGTTCTAGGTCCGACAGTCGGGTCAATTAGCTGACACTACGGACATCCTTCGTTTTTCGCGTCTTTTTGAAGATCAAGTGACACTTGATTCTTTGGACCATGCTCAGCTGAAGGCTTTATGCCAACTACTTGAAATCAACTCCATTGGTCCAAGCAACTTTCTCCGTTTCCAGTTATGGCTTCGAGTTCGTCAACTGCGTACCGAAGACAAGGTGGGCTTTTATAACTCCTTGGTCCTTAGACAAATCTTTCTTACATGAGTGTTTTTCTTTTTCATCCGACAGTTGATCGCCAAGGAGGGTATTGACCAGGTACCGTTGTGGGAACTGCAATCTCTTTCGCGCAACCGCGGCATGCGATCTTTCGGCCTGACTGAGGAGCGGTTACGCAGTCAACTCAGTCAGTGGTTGGATCTGCACTTGGAGAAGAATGTTCCAATAACTTTACTCCTTCTCTCACGAGCCATGTACGTGCAGGATACGACCCTTCCACCTGAACAACAGCTTAAGAATGTGAGTCATCCTGGTTTCTATTGGAACGTTAGTCATTTTTTATCAGTCTCATTCCATTACCGTAGTGATTAGTCGCTTTCTGTTCAAATTTGTGAAGATGGTCCCGAATGCGGTCAAGTCGAGGTTCAGTATTTCTTATAGCATTGCTTCCCGTATGGAGTTTCCGACAGTGGCCAACAAGTTTGCAAGTTTTTGTCACCATTGTTTTTCTTGGGTTTGTCGAAAATCTAAAATGGTAGCCACTTTATCAACTTATAATTTATCGGCATTTTAAAGAGGTGCTAAATGAAGTGTTTTGGTAGTGGAGTCCGTATGGTCTTCACGTTTGTACCCAAATATGTTTGGTTATGTTTACTAAGTTAGGCAGTCCAGCACTGGTATGGTGATCTCAAGATTCAATGTCTCGACTTAAACCCCCGTAGACGAATGGCGAAATTTTAATGGCAATTTCTTTATCCAGAGGTTATCTACTCAAACAGACTCAGTGCTATTTATGTGCCTCATCATCATGGCAGATCTGATACTGATGTATTCTACTCTAAAAACGATGTTAATTTGTTCTAAGCGCCTATCTTGCTTGCTTCCTCTTCCATAGCGTTCTATTATCCTATTTAGGATACAATGGTCCAATAGTAAGGTCATAGCATTCCAATTCATTTTCTAACCATGAAGCCTTAATTCTCTCCTAGACTCTCCTTGCTAAAAAGACTTGTGGTACTCGTTTTTAAGTAAAATTAAGCTTTTAAGATATGGTCTCGATTGCGAGGTTTTTATTTCAATTATCGTTTCATCGCAAACCTTACCATGCCGGAGTAGTTTGTTTATTCTATCATACTTTCACGCTAAATGCTAATGTAATCACGCCACGAGGCGAAGTTTGTCATTACATCTACTTCGAAATTATTATCTAAATTTTTTCATTTGTCACTTGCAAGTTGGCCCTTGGTTAGGGTGTTCTAGACTATTAATGAACGGGAATCCTATGGCCTATCATCATAAATGTGGATGCCGACTCTGATATTTGAAAGCAGAAATAAGGTACAATTTGCCCAGTTAGTCTCGCTTCCCCTCTAGGCGATTTCAGTGCTGCCTGATAAAGCGACAGAGGAGGCGGCAGTAAAGGCGGTAGAGTCATCAGAGGACGTAGACCCTAAGACAAAGATAGAGTTCCTGCGCAAGGAGCAGGAGACCATCAAGGCTGAACGCGCAGCCGCCCGCAAAGCCGCTGAAGAGGAGACGCGCAAGGCTGCTGAGGTCGGTTCCCGTGAATTCCTCGTTGACAAAGCCAAACCTCTCGAGACCAAGGCATCTGAGGAGCGTAGGTCTTTTTCCCTGTCTTTTCCTCCTTCCTCCTTTCAGCGTCAGTGGCTATATTCAGTTCAAGAAAGTCGGCTTTGCTCGGCAGGTTTGACGTATTTTTTAACGATTGAGTCAGAAAGGCCAATCTGTGATTGGAGTAATTTCATTTAGTTGGATTTGCATTTTGCAAAACTTCCACGACCTCCATAGAACTGAAGGTGACAGGATGCAAACAACACGCATTTCCAAGCCGGTTAGTCAGAAACGCGTTCAATGCAAAAATGAGGATCAATAAAGCTGTGTAGCCAGCATTACGTAAAAGTGGAAACTAAAGATGGGTGAAATGGTCAATAAATCCTAAAAATTGGTTATCTTAATAAACTTGCGGACTTCGTGCTGTCTAAGTCGAAAAGATTTTAGCTTATGAAATTGAAACTCAGTTATTTTAATGGATAGTACACGCCTTTGACGATTTGGTTTGAGGTTGCTTTGATGTACTGTTGAGATACGCATGCCTTATCACATTATCAGTGCTAACGGGATCATTGTTGAAAATTCAGTGGCTCTTGGCTAAATAAACCGAAGACGGTTTCGCTCTATAATTTGCCTGTTTCCCGTTTAACCCGTATTTAAATAGGCTTAAGTGATGTCTATCTAAACTTCAAGTTAGTCCTCTGGAAAGGAACTCATCTCACTTTTTGGTATTATGGATTCTTTTGTCCTTTAACTTGGCGCCATATTAAGAACGTCGGCTCAAAGCCCGGCGGCCGATGTACATTATGGCTGGCAAGTAAGATTATTAGTCGGGCACACTGTAATGAAAAGTCTAATTAAATCAGATATGTTCCACCTTATTAATTACGGGATTATCAATATGTGAATGACAAAACTATTCGGAAGCTGATTAATCACGTCAAGATCTCCATTGACTGGTGCTTTTGCTGCAAATTTAGCTCATAGACTGTTTGACGTGACTCGGGAGAGATGCAGACTCCAGTCACACTTCTACTTTTTTGCTGCAGTTTACCCCTCACTGTGCTTTGGTGCAATCATATCCAAAATTCTTCATGATACCGTCATTCGACCCTGAAAACATTCGCGATTGCCAATTTGTTGTCGCTCTGCACATTCACAGATTTTCTTCCATTCACTCTCTTAGAGTGCATCGTTGTTGATGCTACTTGAGAATAGCGTGGGCATGTTTGCACTGACTTGAGTAATTTAATGGCAAGTAGAAGTCCATCTTCAGCATAGCTATAAAATAGGACATCTTTTCCCCAATAGACGATTGAAGTGCTGAAAACGCGTCCAAATTAGAGAAATGGCTGTCAATTCTAACCTGCTCTCCTCACCTTCGTCCCGTAATCGACTATGTGATTTCCCATATTAGTCTTGTTTTTCTTTCCTTCTAATTCGAATAGTACTCGAAAATGTTTTGTGCTTGCATAAAGCACTAAACCGCCTCAAATACTCTATTGTACCAAGGAATATCTAAATTTTTTCAAGCACTGCTGCTGACATTGTTTTGGTTTGTTCGTTAAAGTTAAAAAAAGGAAGCAGTAACACTACTCCCTCTTGTTGAAAGTAAGTCAGAGAAAGTGAATGATAATTTTTATGCACGAATATTGGTTGTAGCCGTTTTGACCAACTTTTATAGGCTTTTTTATTTTATGACAAAAATCTTTTCACAAAGCTAATCCATTGCAAATGCATCCAAAATTACATACAACTGATGCTGTGATGGCCTAAATGACGACAGTCCTGAAATAGTGTCTGTGATTATGTAAGCTATCTGCTCCGCCGACGTCACTTTATCCTCTTTCGTTTGATGCCATTGAATTTGCCTCTTCAAATGAACCTTAACGGGAGCCCCAGCTACCAATTAGTTAGGCAACTAAAGAACGGCATTTTCAGCTCAGGCTAGCTGTTGGGGTTTCGCTTAGAAATACTCCTGACAAGTCGCATGAATTAGTGTTTTTTGCTTCCATTTGTAGTAAAGGACACGGCGGAGAAACTGATTGGGAAACCTTTACAGGTGAGAAGTCTTATTTTCATCACCTTGTATGTGGATAAAACTCAATTTCATCACAAGGCTGTACGAACCTAGTAGAGGTGTCGTATCAAGTAGCTCTACACTATTGGAACTGGCAAAATTTACGCTCTCTTTCGTTCTACGTGTATTTTACAGTTCTATTCTATTTGGTGACAATATCATCGATAAAACTTTGCTATAGAGCGCTGGCTTTACAAGTGCTCGAAGGTCTAAAAGCTTTTTCAAATTCTTCGCGTTGTAGAAGCCTTTGGAACCAATTGTGCCACAAGCTAAGCCGCCTCCAGTGTCAAAAACCGCTGCTCCTGCTCCGGTGGAGGCAGAGATGAAAACTTTAGAGACAAGCGAAGGGGAACCACTGGTTTCCTCAAAGGACCTTGGCAGCATCAAAGACGCCATCGAGAGTATGGAGGAGTCTAATAAGGCTCTACAGGAAGAGCATCTTCTCGATCTGAAGGTTGTCTTATGTTGCGGCTACGTGCCCATTCTCATTACTACTAAAATCACTGTATACCTCCCTTCTAGGCTGACCTTGAAGAGGCTGTCAAGCTGCGTCAGCAACAACAAAAGGAGAAGGAGAAGATAAAAGCCTCGGCGGAACTTGTGAAGGAAGGGGAAGGAGGGAAAGATGAGACGATTATAATTGAACCATTGTCTAAGGGGGTTAGACCGCCACCAAAATCAGCCACTGAGGCGAAACCGATGGAAATAGCCGTAGAAGCGACGACAGAGGTTAATAGGATGGACACCGAGGAGACGTTAGAAGTACAACCAAAGAAAGAAACAGAGACGGTAGTGAAGGAGAAGGTGGCTTCGAAGAAGGCAGCCAAGACAGAGAAGGCTGTTAAACGTCTAGGTGCTCATGTAGACCGTCTTTTGGATGAGATTGATGGTTCGATGGATAAATTGCGAGGACAGAAGCAGGATCTTCTGAAAGAGATTCTGGTATGTTGCATGTGATCTGCTATATTTCTTCTCCTTTCCTCTACTCTTAATGAATGATGAGTAGACTCAAGAGGACAAGGCCAAAGCAATTACAACGGAGGCAGACGCAGAGATGCGAAAACAGCTCTTCGAGAATATTCGTGCTGACCAGCAGCGTGTGGTTGACATCACTGATGTGTTGTTGTCACTGCAACGGTTGCAGAAGGCTGCTGGAAGCGATGCTGAAGGGGACCAGCGCTGGCAACTCATTCTTGAAGCTCTGGATGAGGACAACGATGGTAAAATTGAACTCAAGCACTTGCTACCAGTGAGATAGATTTTAGTGTGGGTAACGCGGTGTTTCAGCACCCATCTTACACTTCTTTGTTTGTGCTCAGGTTCTGGAACTCTTCGAGAAAGAGAAGGTGGAGCTGAACACGAGTCAGCTATCTGATGTGGTGGAAATGTTTGAGAAAGAGGACCTTCTGGAGGAACAGGAGGGGCAGGCGGGGGAAACTCAGAAGGAGGATAGGGCAACGAAAGAACAGACGTCGGAGACTTTGAAGAAGCCCGACGGTACTGAGGTGTAAAAACATCGTGAGAGCAACACTACTGTGATTCTTACTCGCGCGTACACAGAGAACAAAAGTTTTCCTTTCAAGGCTCCTCTGTGTGAACAAAATCAGTCGATTTTGTCCACTTTTCCTGCATTACTACTAGTGTGTATATGTACATGGTTGCAAATAACCTAATAAGCGATCGGAGATGCACACTCTTGATGGTAATTACGTCCACATGTTTGTTGTGCGCCTCATTGGATAAGCGATGCATGTTGTTTGTAAAAAGCAAACATGGCACCTACCTCTGTTAAGTGAGCTGTTTGATTTTTTAAGCGTATTAAGCAAGCGTCCAACGATGGGTGTCGGCTTTGCCCAATTAAATTGCCCTCGAGACTTAGAATAAGTAGATGGACAGCCGTCAACTGTTAGTAGTGATTCGCTTGTCTGGAGGTCGCAAACCTTGAATGAAAAGAACTAAATAAAAATGCTAATATAACCATTAGATAGATGAGCTCGCCACTAGCGTTTATCTTGGTAGTTCGATTTTGAGGCTATCAATTACTTCCAAGAACCTGAAGTACGGTTTGCATTAAAAACCATGGTGATCTGGGAGCTGATGCTACAGTCTTAAAATAAGTTTCGTCTAACTGTTTCAAATTCAGTATCACTGGAGTAGTCGGCTGGAGTGAATGGTACAGACTGTGTAGTGCTTTGTTGATTTGACTCTCGGTTTCACTTGCGATCATTTTGATGGTCATCTTGCCTGAGAGGGTAGGCCGACCTCTGAGTTATGCCAAAAGGCCCTACCCTTTCCCCTTTGCTGATTGCCCTACGCTCGTTATGCCGCAAATAAAGTGATGCGCCTCTTAAAAACCAACGCAATGAGTGTACTAACTAGCTTTTCTAGTTTTCAGTGATGATTAGCGTGTAGATGGAGACCACTGCATTTGCATGTCAACTTCTTACAAGTACCTATTAGGTCGAATTTGACGTGTGCCACCGATGGGAGGCATATTGTTTACTAATGATATACCGAAGAGGGTGTGCATGATCTACAATGCAAACCTTGTGTTCAATGAACCTGTGAACATAGACTTGAAAATTGGTAAGTTAGTTGCGCAAATACTCCTGCGCCATGGCTTTGGTGCGTACCCATACTCTGCATACCCTTGGCACACTTGAACCATATCCTACCTGATTTCAACGAAGTGTTGCAAAATTACGATGTGCCGACGGAACCTAAAACCACACAGGCACCTATTGAGAAGATCATTCTCAATTCGAAATCTATATTGCTATTCTGTAAATCAGGGCAAAACATGGACCAACGCACATTGAGGCGACTTGAGAATAGGTATTGAGTGTTCAACCTTGTGGTGTTGGATAGTTCGCGTCTGAACGATGGCTAAGGGGAGTTTAAACAATGGAGGCTGTGGCCGTGGCACTAGTATATTTCTACCTCCACATGAGAGAGGCATTTTAGGCGACTAACGTGTTATAAGGGGAGCCATATTTTTAATTAGGGCCAACGAAGCGATCAGAAAACAGTAGCGAAACGTAGTAGATAATTGCAATCAATTTGCAGGCACTGCGTAATGTACACTCAATCAATAACTGTTCCACGAATTTTTACCAGCTGACGCAGAATGAGTTACGGTTGTTTTCTTTTAAGAAATTGACGAAATTTTTCACTCAATGGAATCAGTCATTGCTTAAGAATTAAATCAATTTCAGCAGTAAATTATTCTTAAAGTGTTTGAAATTTATTGGGATAAAAATTAGAGTGGGATAAATTCCTCGATGTTTTCCTGCAATATTTCCTGATAAGTTAAGGACACGACGCATCATGAATTAAAACAATTTAGGCGGTCGTCAGTAAGCTTCTGTTTCGAGGTCCGTATTTGCACTACGTTCTTTGTGGTTTCTGACATGGTCTGGTGTTTATGATGGAAGTACGGAGGAGGAACTTAGTGTCAGAAGAATTACAACATACAGGTTCTTCTACCACTTCTGGTAGCGATGAAGACAGTCGCTCCTTACTTACAGTAGACCATCCTCGAGCATCAGTTCATTTATGGGATTGGGTTGTGCTCTATACCCTTCTGTTATTTTTGGTTGTTTTTATTCCTTTACACTCAACTTCTTGTGGGGACTTCGTCTCCACTGCAAGTGATCCCAACTCCACTTTTCAGGAGCCCTTAGCCCGCAAACATTTGCAGCATGTTACAAGGTTGGGTCCTCGTACCGGAGGTTCACTGAATAATGAAGTTCATGCTCGAAAATATCTCCTATCCGAACTTCAAAAAGTCGTTGAATTGGCTGAAGCTTCTGGGCTCGTTGCCAACCTCGAGGAACAAATTGCCCGACCATCATCCTTCAAGACGCATGTTCACATAACTTCTTATGCTAATATCCCGAACCTCCTCCTCCGTTTGCATGATTCCCGCATCAAGCGTGATTCAGTTCCCCGTTCAGTTTTGGTGAACTGTCATTATGACACAGCCCCGCAAAGTCCTGGTGCATCTGACGCCTTTGTCGGATGTGCCAATTCTCTCGAAGTGGCCCGTATTCTCGCAGGTGGTGGTACTACATTGAGGAATAACGTCATCTTTCTCTTCAACTCCGCCGAAGAAAATATTTTGCCTGCTAGCCATGCATTCATAACGCAACATCCCTGGGCTGAAGAGGTAGCTGTCTTTATTAATCTAGAGGGCGCAGGTGCTGGTGGCAAGCTGCTAGTCTTTCAAAGTGGTCCGGGACCAGCAAGTGCAGCTCTCATTCAGTTTTACTCGTCTACAGCTCGCTATCCATTTGCTTCAGTAGTGGGTGAGGAGGTGTTCCGTTTTGGCTTCATTCCATCTGATACCGACTTTCGAATATTTAGGGATTATGGGTTGATTCCGGGTTTGGATTTAGCCTACATCGGCAATGGGTATGCATATCACACATGTCATGACGTCGAAGAACGGATTTCGCCATCTTGTTTGCATTTGGCTGGAGATAATCTTTTGCAGCTTGTCAAGTTGATGGCTCAGGATCCCAGCATCGACAAGATGGAAAAATTGGAACGTTCAAACGAGTTAAAAGTAGAGAATGAAATAATTTTCTCTCCTGAGGGTGGCTTGGGCAACATTAACGACTTTTCTAACGCCCAAGTAAAATCCAATTCTGCTCGATATGTGTACTTGGATGTCCTGGGATACTTTGTCATGCGTTACCCATGGTCTATTGGTCGAGTGTTTCACTGGAGTGTCTTTCTTGGGATTCTTCTCTGGATCTTTGTGTCTCAGAAGCCTGCTGGCGGTAGCCACAGCGGTCTCCTTCTCGCAGCCTCGATCCAGATGCTATTCTTCGTCACTGCTCATCTCTTTTCACTTCTTGTGGGTTACGTGATTCATATGTACGGTTGTCGAATGTCGTGGTACACTAACAAATGTAATCTCTTCGGTCTCTACCTTTTGCCGCTGCTTTTCTATTTCTTGTTTTACCACTCTGTGCTTTTAAAAATCCCATCAGGTTCACTTTGGCAAATACCTGCCTTGAGGTATTTGCTTCGGCACAGCCTCTGGCTTGATTCGACTTCCATGAAATCTCTCGTCATCGAAAATGACTTTTTTAAAGGCAGCATTCTCGTCATGAGCGTTATGACGTTGATCGCTTTGTGTTACGACAGTCCGGCTTCGTATGTCCCCATATTCTGGTGCCTTCTCACCATAATTTTCCGTTTTATCTACTTTATGGTGTTCGGAAAAACTGGCTCTTGTTACGTCGCCAAAGTTCTTTTGATTCTTCTTCCCCCTCTAGTGGCATTCCACATATCCTCTGTGTATACGCTTTTTGAAGTTTTCATACCTATCATGGGTCGGTCCGGACATGAGGCTCAACCGGATGTTATCATAGGCGGTCTCGTTGCTTTTTCATCTGCTCCTGTACTGATGTTCTGTGCGGATTCAATCCATCTAACACCATCGGAAGCTGCTCGTGTACTTCGACGAATCACAATCAATGGGTGTATCAGCTTTATTATTATTGTACACACTTCATTCTTGGGTTTCCCTTATACTGTTATGCCTGATACCAATCGCCATTTGGTGCTGCCTAGTCAGCAACATGTTGCCGTCTTTCACACTAATAGGTGGTTCAGTGAGAGCCCTCTTGATTCGACTGTCACTCGCGAAGACTCCGGTCTCTTTATTTTTCCATTGGATGCCAATCGATTTCGGTACTATCACCACCCACCCTCTCCAGCTCCAAATCCTTTTATGCTCCGCTTCCAGCAGTATTTGTCTTCTGAACCGACGGAGACCTTCTACTTTCCTGAAATCGAGCAAATGGAACCATTCGCTTTCCATCACACTGTGCCCTATTGTGGTGTGCCACTCCTTTACCCATTATTGAATGCTTTTGATACCATTTATTATATCCCCACTCCGAAACACAACTCACCTTCAGCTGGGTTCGCAATTATCAACCGTCATCAGGAAGCCTCAAGCGAGGGTGTTCATTTGGTAAATCTTACTCTTTCCATCGATTCGAGTGCCCCACTTACTCAGCTCTATCTACGAACTACTCCTGACTATGTCCGGCTCACTCGTTGGTCATTTGCTTCTGAGCAAACTCGTCCTCAACCCGTGCCGATTCCACGCGGAACTTCCCACCAAGGTGATGCTGATGGACCTAGATCAGCGCATTTTTACGTCAACCATATCGACCCTTCTGTGGCCACTTCAAAGACAGGTCGATGGGCTCAGCCATGGGTTTTCTGGCTTCAATTTTCCGTCTACCCTTCCTCACTCAACCCTGACCTGCCAGACTCTAAGGTTGGTGTAGACATTGCTGTGGTCAGTCAATATACGGATGAAGGTGTGGCTCAAGGCATGTCCGAACCTCTGGGTCGGATTCTGCAACGTTTGCCTCAGTGGGCTGTCGCTACCTACTGGATTTCGTCCTACAACTACACTCGCTTGCTTCTGCTAAGTTGATTTCGCTCAGCTCTCGTCCTTCTCTACTCCTTGTGATAGTCATTAATAGTCATTATTTTCAATAATAGAATACCTTCCTACATGTTATTCGTTCTTGTCATTCTCACGTTTCATTTGTGTTTAATCGTCTTATTTGTAATGTGTGTAATATGGGTTCGTTTTTATCTCCCTAGATGTCGCACACAATACTTTTGGTACAGCAGCAAGTTAAGAAACCGGAGTCCCGAGTTTGGGCTGATTACGAGACAATAAATCAGTGCCTTGAAGGTGTATGCAAGATATACGAGGAACAGTTGAAGCAGCAAAACCCTACGGCGCCCACAATTACTTACGATATCTCGCAACTCTTCAAATTCATCGATCAACTGGCCGATCTGTGTTGCTTGGAGTTCCACTCCGCCACTGGCACCTATGTACCTCATACCAAGGATTGGATCAAGGAGAATATATATGCGCTTCTGCGTAATCAGGCGGGTCAGTGAAGAACCTTTAGGGTGTCGATGTTTGTTGTACACGTTTTTTGCCAATAAAAACTTGTAATTCGTGCTGGTTACTTTTTGTTCAATATGGATTGGTGGTGCGTGCTTCGTACTCGTAGTTCTCAGGGTTTGTGCGTCTGTCTGCGTGCATACAGGGTGTCCGAATTCGAGAGGAATGGATACGAAAGAGATGTGGCGTGGACGCACGGACTCAGAGAGCGAATGTGACAGTGACATAAGGAACCCCCTCCAGAGTAAGCGCAGTATTATAGCTTTGCTCACTACCTTTTTTTCTGTCCAGGATAGCATTTGGTCAATAAAGTGATTTTGCCACTCACAAACGCCTGCCCTTTTGTAAATGAATATGAGGCAGAGGTTATAAGCTTAAAGGACTAATTTATCAGAGGGAATTGAGAGTTGGTTGTACTGTTAGATGGGACGCGATTTCAATCTGCTTTTGGCATTACGCAGAGCCTCTCCGTTATCGATATTTTTGGAGCTCCTTAACAATGTATACGTTTCAATAACTCATTTAATTCGATCGGTGATATGTAGGTGGAATGGTTAATAAATCAAACCGTTTCAAAAGGATTTTAAACGATTTTGAACAGTATTCGCAGCTCTGGATGCCACTCCTATTAATAAAGCTTCAGAGTCTGTTTTAGATATTTTCTTCAGATTGTGAGGTATTTCATGCGGTCTGCTTCTGCTAGATTTTAATCTTAGGAATTACCTAAGAGAGGAAATCTGGCAGTTCTCCCGACGTCGCAACGAGGTGAACAATTCTCAAGAACAAATTTGTGGGCCCTTCCGCAATCGCGTTTGGAAATTTCTCTCTATCCCACAGTACTTTGAGTCGGTGAGATCGTACCTTCTTCTTTGTTTTCTTTTCTCGTTCTCTGCTCTAATCAACATATACCCTTGCATAATTTTAGTTCATGTTCTACGGGCTTCTGCAGTGCCTGGATCATATTCTAATGGTCTACACTTTCCTTCCTTTGCGTTGTATAATCATCTTCATTTCCCTTCTTTCCTATGTAACCTTCAGTCTTGTTGGTAGCTGCATCCCGTCATTCAAGTGAGTTCTCTTAAATAATTTTCCCTCGCCCTAAATTGCTACTTGCTCAAAGGATTGTCTTTTCAATGACTTTTAGACCCAAAAATTTCATTCTCTATGCCACAGATGTACGGGAGTTAGTGAAATTCTCCTTCGTCTGCATCTGCACCATCTTTCTCTACACATTCGATAGTTCTATCGCCTACCATGAGATTAGGACTCAGTCGATCATCAAAATTTACATATTTTTCAACCTGCTGGAAGTAAGTTTCCTTAGTAAAGTGCCTAAGCCGAATTTCCTAATGCAAAGCTAATGAATGATACTCAAGGTTGATACTGTACTGGCACCTCACACGTACTCGTATCAAATAAACACATATTCGAATACGTGCAGTTCCTGGATTATTAACTCCATCTTTATGTGAAAATTGGATGGTTTGTTGATGTGGTCTCAATAGCCGAATGTCTGCCTCGTAACCATGGAACCTAATTGAGGTATGATCATAGCTTACGTTTCAAAATGCAAGATTCACATCACACGAAAGTTTCTACATAAAACTTTGGGATGACATCATTCCTTTCAATCCTTTTTATCCGAAATATTTTCAGAGATAGATGTCTGGTAATAACTAATTATGAAGTTACTCTGCAGACCTTAGATTTGATCATGCATTCGTTTACAGTCGAGGAAATCTATGGAAGACCACAAAGTTAAGCGTGTTGTTTCATTTTCCACCTTGACGTAGATAAGGTGAAACGCTCAGTCGCTGTCATCAATCATGTTTGAGAACGATCATTCATTTGAGGTTGTTACAACAGATGGAGAAGCTTAGTTTACGGTATTTAATAGGACTGTCAGCGGATAATGTAAATATGGGTTTAAAAAATGGTTGGCGTGACTAAGCGAAATGATTCTGTACAAGTTACCCATGGTCATTGGGGGCGCAAGCCTTCTAAAGCCCCTCGGCGCTACAAGTTCAGCACCAGTTTCCTTGGGCTTTCTTACAGTAAAAGCTAACCGACATCGGCGTATAAAGTTGTCAAGTTGGCTTTACATCGTCTTCTTCACTGTCACTAGTTACAGAAACGTCTCCAAGTGCTTCCTATCTTCTTGTTTACTACAAAGCACTTTGAAGTGCAAATATTTGCATAACTTGAGGTCATGTTTTGTACTCTGCCTTTGGCGTCCAAGATCTTGGATGTTATTTAGGTTACAAAATGCTACACCAATGGAACTATCAGTCGCTTCTGACTGTATGTAATTATGTAGGGTTTCGGGTAACGAAAGTACGTGTGTATCTAATCTTCATTACTAAATAGGTGCTTAAGGCGAGTCTAATGGACCTGCTCAGTTAGTAGTTTTCCTTTCTATCCAAAACCAGTTAACCTGTGAGCTGCACATGAGTTATTCCTAAAACTAGGTTTTAATTGATAGAAAAGATTGAAAAGGAGTTAGACGTTGGAACCGGGAGTATTTAGACGATGGCAGCGTTGCTAGTACACGCGCTCCCCTCCCTAGGTGGCTGACCGTCTCCTCTCCGCAGTCTGCCTGGATGCTGTAGATGACGTCCTTTACACTGTCTCAGCAGGCCTCGGGCGACAGCGTGTGTTTCCGAGTGATCGCGTAGTAACCACCAGCAGCAGCGTCTCTTCCATTGATCCTCCCTCTTCTGCTGAGGCTGTGAGTCTCGGAGCTTTCATCGTCCAATATCTCTTCGCTCTCACCTGTCTCGGTGAGTCAGATAGCATACCTTTTTGTTCTGTGGAGCTCGGCTCCATTTGTCTTCCCATGTAAGCGTAATGCCATAATGAAAAAAAGTTACTGAAGATGCCCGCTTTGATGTGGTTCTTGGTTTCCTTTATTTGACTCAATGGCATCTCCTCCCGTTTTGCAACTAAAAAGAATATTAACGAAGGTCGAACAAGAAATAAGGTTTCATTTGTTCTCACTCCAGTTCTATCCAACTATTATCATAGTGTTAATGTTGGAAATCCCCATGCCTTTCCTTTTTGTACTGTACCCAGTTACACAGTGTTCAGTTAGCACTTACCGTGTTTCGAATAGATTTGCATTGAATTTAAGGTCTTGTGTCTCATCAGTCTGTGGTTTTGTGATCGTGCGTTTCTGTATCTCAATTTCTTATTTGCTTACCTCTAAATTTTTTTTGAAGCCTATTGCTGTCGAAATCTGGGGTGCGCAGCAAGTTTGGGTAGCATTTTTACAGGAACTGGGTTAAAGTAAGAGGTATGCTTTGGATAAGATTAACTGACCCATGGTCGAATTTCATACCATTTAAGTATGATTTTGTGAACTTGATCGCTTGACATTTTCGTGCTTTGTCAATTTCGTTCACTTTATTGCAGTGTTTATTATGATGGAAAGTGGTCTCATGACCAGATTATCGCAGCCGTTAAAGATTGGTGAGAGACACACGAGGCAACGTAAAAGAATGCAGTAAAGGAAACTAACTAATCCGCGCTGATATCAAATCATTCGCATTGCTTTGGTGTCTTTGCACTT